ACATTTATCTTCAAAAATTTCCGGAATCCGGGCACGTGGGCCAAAGGGTGAATTTTAGGAATCTTCCAATTTGGGTTGGGTAATTACTCTAATAGTTAAATTATGAACCTTTGAGCATGTATTGATTAATTTTTATAACATTTGACTAGTTTTGGATTGTTCGGTACCGAGTTGAGGCTTTAGAACGAATTTGTGGTGGGAAAGTGAACTTTGAGATGAGGTAAGTCTCTTGCCTAACCTTGTAAGAGGGAATTTACCCCATAGGCGATTTAAATTACTATTTGCTCCTAATTATGGGGGTTACGTACGCACGAGATGACGAGAGTCCGTGCGTAGCTACTGATTATATTTATGTCTAGGTAGTCTAGGACCCAGATCATGAAATACTTGTAATGTTTGCATCCTAGTTGTTAATTAAAGTGCCTAAATTGTATTGGAACTTGATAAAGGAATTGTAAAAGACCGACTTCCACTACTTGAGTTTTGGCGAGATACTTGACTATTAATAAAAATTATGCTTCTTTGTGTATTAGCCTCGTAATAGCTTTTAAATCGAATACTTATAAAGTATCATCTCTTCTTGTGGAGCGGAGAATAGATGCATCTATGGCTCGTGTCGCTAATCCCTCGGTAGTGTACACATTATTCTGGATCGGGTTGTACGACCTCGGCGTAATCGTGCGTGATAATACTCGGAGCTTAATTATATTGGATATTATTTTATGGCTTGAGATGTTATAATTATTTAATGATAGAAATTGACTTGGGGTTTACTATTAGTGAAAGAATTATTTATTCACTGCTTGTTATTGAGTTATTATTATTTACATAACTCATGCTTATTTAGAATTTTTTGTACTTTATTGTTAGCCTATAGTAAGTGTCAAAGTCAAACCCTCGTCACTACTTCTTCGAGGTTAGACTAGATACTTACTAGGTACATGTCGTTTATGACTCACACTACACTTCTGCACTAACTGTGCATGATCTGAGGCAGGTGCATCTGGCAATCATACCGACGCGCACCCCTGTTACCCTGAGGCCTAATGGTGAGTTGCTTCCTGAGCCGTTCTGCAGCAATTAAAGTCTGTCTTTTGTATCTATTTTCTGTTTACTTTATTTCAGACAGTAGTTAGAGTTTTGTATATTCTACTAGTTGCTCATACACTTGTGATACCAGGTCCTGGCACATATACTAGTAGACTGTATGGTTTTGGAGTATTGATATCGTTATGATTACCCACTCAGTGGCCTTCGTTTTATTTCATTAAATTTTTTACTCCTTAATTTCTTAATAAATAGAATTTAATTACTTAGTAACTTATTAAAAAGAGAAATCACATGGTCAGTTCACCGTTGGCTTGTCTAGCGGCGACGTTGGGCGCCATCACGACCTATAAGAGGAATTGGGTCGTGACACTTTTATTCTTTACAAGTGCAAGATTCACGTTAATTTGAGTCTTTGCAACTTCCAAATCTAAGTGCTTGAAATTTTCAAGTGTTGTTTTAATGTAATGAGATTGCTACAATGTCAAACCTTGAGAAGTCTTATGAATCTTAATACCCAAGATTAAATCGGCAACTCCCAAGTCTTTTATATCAAACTTGCAGTTAGCATACACTTGGTCACATTTATATTGGCAATGTTATTACTCATTATCAACATATCATCTATATAGAGACAAACAATGACTTTGATTTGAAATATTTTTAATGTACACACATTTATCACCTTCATTAATTATAAAACTATTTGACAACATTGTTTGATCAAATTTTATATGCTATTATTTGGGTACTTGTTTTAGTTTATAAAGAGACTTAACAAGTCTACATACTTTTTTTTCTTTGCCTGGAACTACAAATCCTTTTAGGTTATTCCATGTAAATTTCTTTCTCTAAATCTCCATTTAAGAAGGTTGTCTTAACGTACATTTGATGGATTTCAATACCATATACTGCAGCCAATGCTGCTAATATTTGTATGAACGTAATTCTTGTAACAAGGGAGTATGTGTCAAAATGGTCAAGGCCTTCTCGTTGTCTATAACCTTTGACAACAAATCCTACGTTATACTTGTCAATAGTTCCATCATCTTTTATTTTCTCTTAAAAATCTATTTAGACATAACGGTTTGTTACCGAGAGGAAAATCAACCAGTTCCCATGTATGATTGTTAAATATGGATTCTATTTCACTATTTACCTCCTCTTTCAAAAATAATTATTTAGAAGAAGACATAGCTTCTTTGAATGTTCGAGAAGGCTTGGGTTACTCTTTGGTCCAAAAGGGTTCTTTCTCTTTTTATTATTTTGGGGAACATCCACAAAAATATTTGCTCCTATTATTGTTGAGTTTCCACGAACCTTCTTTTCAACAACTTTGTCGTCCTCTTCGATCCTTAATCGAAGAATGAGATTTTAGAGCGACTTCTCATTGCGTTTGTGTTTCAAGTAATTTTTGAAGTCCTTCTACAAAGGAGGTGACCTCTCAATCAATGCTGCAAATTGAAATGCTTCATTGATGACCAAACTTTCAATGAAAAATACATTAGTAATAATATAATTAATTATTTTTAACAAAAGTATTAATTCAGATTATACCTTCAGCTAATAAATCATGGATAATCACTTGCAATTCTTGGACTTGGATAATAACAAACTTGCTATCTACCATTTTATAGTCAAGAAATTTTACGGCTACAAACTTTTTCTACTCGACATCTTCAGTTTTGTATTTCTTTTCAAGCGCACTCCACAGTTCTTTCGACATCTCTACATTACTATAGACATTATACAGATCGTCCTCCAGACCTCTAAGAATATAATTCCTGCATAGAAAATCAGAATGCTTCCATGCCTCAGTCAGAAGGAAGCGTTCATTAACCGGAGTTGCGTCTGGCACAACTGGGATATCTTCCTTAATAAACATTTGTAGGCTTAGGGTAGTCAAATAGAATAATATCTTTTGCTGCCATAGTTTGAAATCAATTCCGAAATTTTTTTCGGCTTTTCTGCCAGTGTAGGTGCTTTTGGCTTGTCGATGCATTGACAGTCACCATAGGAGCAGACTGGTTTTCGTTCTCACTTGTCATTTCTGTTAAAATGACACAAATAATTTTTGCATATATGGTGAAGTTTTTATATCTTCAAATCGAATAAAAATGGAGTAGAAAATTATGTAAATTTTAATCTCCAATGGAGTAGAAAATCAATAGAATTTAATATCCAATGAACAAATAATAAATAAAATAGAATATATGTTAAAAATATAAAAGATGGAGAAGAAAACTACGAAGGCTTTAATCTTCAAACTGGGAGTAAAAAATCACACAGGTTTTAGTCTCCAGAATAATGTATACAACACAAGTACAGAGTATAAAAATTTAAGTTACTTAAGCTTGTTATTAATATGTATTTGAAAATTATATTCCGAAAAGTTAAACAACGTAAAACAGAAATGTAGAAGAAGCAAAATTTTATCCGAGCCCACTGAATTCACAATATTTTCTTAAAGAACTCAATCACCTCCTAGTATCCGAGGTTTAAAATTATTTTCTCCCAGGATAAAAGGATAACCACACTAGTGTAGCGGTACTTTAAACACCAGTATACGGCAAATACAAACGGCGGGAGTGAATCACGCTTACTTTATTTTTATAAGAAAATAATGAAGAAATGAAGAAGAGATTTCAAAAATTTTGTAAGGAAAATCTGAGGGAAAGACGTGATATTTATAACCATCAGATTGAGTTTAAACGAAGAGGTGCAACTCTTCAAGATGATATTTTGCGTAAAACGACTATAACGAAAATGACTATTTACGCAAAATAAAACGAAAAAAATAAAACCGGAGGAAAACATAAATTACCATTACAAAAACGGTTGATTTGGATTAAAATATTAGTATAATTTAATATTTAACAATAAATTTGATCCAAAAAATTAATCAGATCATTTGACCGAAGCCGAGCGAGCGACGACAACAGCGCAAAGCTTGATTTCTTCTCAATTCTTTAAGAGTTAGAAGAAGTGCAACTATATATATACCCAACAAATGAGTTTTCCTCCGCCAATATGGGACAAGAAAAAATCAAAATTTTATTTTTCCCTCTATTTTCATTCACCTCATTTTTTTAAAACTAAAAACCCAATACAATTTACCAAGTCTTCATAATTTTTTGTTCAAGTGTTGTGTTTTTTGTTTTATTTTTTATAATGATGGAAGAATGCTGGGTGGCACACTTTTACTATTCCATCGATATCTTAGGTGGTGGGTTCATTCAAACCGAGTATATTTAATGTGAAGCATAAATATATATGTAAAAGCTAACTAAAATTTTAACATATATTAAATACGAGCTTATAATTTTACAACTACAATGAGAACAATGTTATTTAAAGGAATAGTCAATCAAGTTTAAATTTAGTATTTACTTATGACTGTATGCAACTGGTTGCACTGGTAACATGTTACCATGTAAACAAAATATCAAATTAGTACCTTTCGAATTTATCTTTTTATTAGGTCATGGCCTCACTTTGCCTTTAATTAGCAAATCATCAACTCATACTATTTTGATTGCAATGGTGATAAATTCTCTCTGGAAATAAGTCCGTATTTGAAAATAAGTCCGTATAAAAAAGAATGATCTTTTTTCCTATTTGAAAATAATTTAACTTTATGCAATGATTTATAGCCACACAAAATATATATGCCTTATTTTACACTACAAGTTTAAAAGTCTTCTCTCTTTTCTTAAACTCCGTACCCAGTCAAATGAGTTCACATAAATTGAAACGGAGGGAGTATATGACTTTGATCTTGAGAAGAGTTATTAGACGCAAAGATTGCTTTAACTTCCAAGTTAGAGTATATTATAACAACATGGTAAATAAAGGGAAAAAAATTCAAAACAATTCGAGGATATTGTGATTTCTGAAGTGGCAACATCCTCACCTTATAATTCCTAAACAAAACCCCTTCTCATGTAAGTATTTCCTTTTTCAGAACCCTCCACTTCTTCCCTTAAACCCTTCCTTGGGTTTTAAAACACTACTCCCCATTTCTTCACTCTTCCCAACCAACCCTTTATCTCTTTACAAAGAACTCACCAAAAACACCTACTCAAACATCAAAATTCGTTGTGGGTCTTTCTCAAAAGTTAAGCCAATGGCACCAGCACTAAGCAGGAGTTTGACCTCTGCTTCTATGTCTTCACTCCCCTACACGGCGTCATTTTCTTTGAGGAGTGGTAGTGCAAATAGGTTTTGTTTCAGAAGTCTTTTCTTGCAAAAGAATGGGCTAAAGAATAGATTTTGCGAATATGGGTTGAAGACAAAGCTGGAGAAGAGAGACAACAGAGTAGTGGTAAGGTGTGAGGCTGGAGCTGCTGTGGCTGAAAAGGAAGCTCCTGAGAGCTCTGGAGAGACTCATGAGTACCAGGCTGAGGTGGGCTTATGACTTTCATTGTGAACTTTAGTTTGAATATTTCAGTTTTTACCTGTATTGGGCCTTTGATAAGGAATTGGAAGTTGGAATTTTGGATGTTGCTTTTTAGGGAATGAGGATATGGTACTCTGGAATTTTTTTTGTAACACATGAAAGATTTAATCTTTGATCAATTGTGTGAGCTTTTGAATGCCTAGTAAAACTAATTTGATAGCCTTGTTTTCTATTTTTGTGTATCATTTGAAAGATTTAATGTTTTGTCAGTTGGGAGGAGTTCTTGAATCCCCAGTAGAACTAATTTGATAGCGTTATTTTCTGTTTTTGTTGTATATGAAAAATTTAATCTTTTGTTACTTGTTAGTTTTGGGAATTGTTGAATGCCTAGTATAACTAATTTGATAGCCTTGTTTTTATTTAATTGTCAAATCTTTGAATTTCATATCTTTATGCTTCTCTTTTTGTGGGGTTGAAAATTGGAATGTTGATTATTGCAGGTTAGTCGTCTAATGGACTTGATAGTTCACAGTCTCTACAGTCATAAGGAGGTTTTCCTCCGAGAGCTTGTAAGGTAAGGCCATCTCTTGTTTACTACTGTGTTGTTTTTTGGTTACAATATTTTATTGGCTTATTGCTGTTTGTTAAACAATTACTGCTCTTCACTTTGTTGTCGAGATCTATAATGTGTGTGTTGAGTTCCATCTGTGAATCCTTAGAGTTTATTTGGAAAGCTTTGTGGCAGTGCTGTAACTTTGATCACCATTACTAGTTGGCCCTGAGGGCTTATTTCTTTGTCATTCATAGAATGGTGTTTTCGGTGCACCATCTGAAGTCAATTAAGATTCTAATAAGTGACTTCAGGAATTTTCTTTTCAAACTATTTGAGGTTTATTTCTGACGCGGCTCCTTATTTGGCAGTAATGCAAGTGATGCACTTGATAAGTTGAGGTTTCTTAGTTTGACTGAGCCTTCTTTACTTGGGGATGCTGGTGAGCTGGAGATTCGCATCAAATGTGACCCAGACAATGGAACTATTACCATTACGTATGTTTCTTAAGATGCTAGCCACATAATGCTTTTCTAATAAACGGAACTTAAAAAGTTAACTTGTCTATGCAGGGATACTGGTATTGGAATGACCAAGGAGGAGCTTATAGAATGCCTCGGGACTATTGCCCAAAGTGGTACTTCAAAATTCTTGAAGGCTCTGAAGGTACTGAGTAGTATCTCCATGATGTTGGATCAACTTTTCAAGGTCTAAGACTTAGCATTTAATGTAATACTNGACTTAGCATTATCTCTAACAGTTGTACCAATCCTATCTGTAGGAAAACAAGGACCTTGGAGCTGACAATGGATTGATTGGTCAATTTGGTGTTGGTTTCTATTCTGCATTTCTGGTTGCTCAAAAGGTGCAATTCTTCTTTATACATGGTTTTTGTTTACGTACTATTTTCCAGGAAATATAAATTATGATTGTGCTAATTGTTTTTATTTCTACATTTAGGTGGTGGTGTCAACAAAGAGCCCAAGGTCAGATAAACAATATGTTTGGGAGTCTGAGGCTGATAGTAGCTCATATGTTATTAGAGAGGAAACTAATCCTGAAAACCTCCTATCCCGAGGAACAGAAATTACACTTTATTTAAGGGTAAGTGGGTACTTCTGCTTCTTTTTCGTGGCTTTGTTCGCCACCAAGTCCCAGGGGTTGGCATATGTTGTCTTTGCTGTTTTAATCTATTTGTTGTATCTTCTCCGAATGATGTTGACCATGTGTACCTATCGCGATGAAGTAAAGGTAAAGAAAATCTTGGAGTTGGTAAATTCTCTGCGTGATAAGGTGCAGAATACTAATAATAAGACACTGCTCTAATAATAATCAATATATAATTTATTTTCTTAGCTGTTTATCAGTTGTGTTGGTAAACTATCATTGAACGTTTTTGTTCCTTATGTTGGATTGCATTCTTATAGGGTAATCTTTTTCTTGTAGGATGACGACAAATATGAGTTTTCAGAACAAAAGAGGATTCAAGATTTGGTGAAGAATTACTCGCAGTTTGTTTCTTTCCCCATCTACACATGGCAGGAGAAGTCAAGAACCATTGAGGTGAGGTACTTTGATAGATATAAAAACTGCTTTAACCTCCTCCTCCGACATTTGCTGATGTCTTGGAGGAAGAATTAGTGTGTTGTTTCAGCTAGGGTGTTGGCCTCTGTTCTTTATTCCTTCTTCCTAATATGTTTTCCACAGTTCTCGTTATTTAAATTCGTCTCTCTTTTGCCTTAATAAACATACCTGTCTATGACTACACTAAAAGCTAAGTTACCTTTCACTTCTTCTTTCATCTCATCTTTTCTCTTGGGAGGGGGTGGGGTGGGTAGGCTCAAATAAATTTTAGCACCCCTGGATGACCCTTGTGATTGTGCATGAGATTTCTGTAGTAGCAGAAACAGGATTCGAAGTGTCAATTAAGACTTTAATTAAGTATAATTTTCATCAATGGGAGATAGCACGATGCTTTGCTTGTAAAAGGTTGTTGTACTTTCTGGGATTATTTTGTTTGTGTGGAATTTTCTGTTTTAATTATGTCTTAGTGCTTTATCTTATTTTGTTACTTAACTTGGTAGCTTTTCGTTGATTATTGGTGCTATTTCGACAGGTAGAAGAGGAGGAAGAACCAAAGGAGGGAGAAGAAAAAGAAGAGGTGATGACTTCATATATGTGATTACTGTGTTTTGTCTTTCCTTCTTTTGGAAGCTTACTAAGGCCTNTGGAAGCTTGCTAAGGCCTTTGAGATTCATGTTTCCTTTCTCTTCATAAAAACAGGGAGAAAAGAAAAAGACAAAGAAGACCAAAACTGAGAAGTACTGGGATTGGGAGTTGACAAATGAGACAAAACCAATATGGGTATGTTACTACTTAGCTTACATGTGAAAGTTACTATTATGAGCTTGACTTTATACTCCTATCAGCAAACAAGGCACATGTTTCTGCCTAGTGTGCATCTGCGTGATATAAAGTGCTTGTAAAATTGTAGATGCGGAATCCAAAGGAAGTTGAGACAGAACAATACCAGGAATTCTACAAGAAAACTTTCAACGAGTTCTTGGATCCACTTACCTATACTCATTTCACTACAGAGGTAACACTCTCGTATTGGAAAAGACTGAATACATTTGTTATTTTGAGTTTTTTAACGCTGAGAATGATATGTGCAGGGTGAGGTGGAGTTTAGAAGTGTTCTATATATACCTGGAATGGCTCCTCTTAACAATGAAGATGTTACAAATCCCAAGACAAAAAATATTCGCTTGTATGTGAAGCGTGTATTCATTTCTGATGATTTTGATGGGGAATTGGTAAGTTGAATTTCTAGTTCTATCTCAACTTCTGATATAGGATATAGATGGAGAAGAAAATTAAGAAATATTTTTTTTGATAGGTAATAGCAAATATTCGTTTCACTTGTACCAAGCTGGTCGTATTATGTAAAGAAAAAATATTCCATCTTCCTTTTTAAATGTGCAGTGAAATGCACAAAAGCATTTACATCAGAGTCAAAAGAAAGGTAACACCAAGATTTTAACATCTGTAAGCATCTGCTTTTGAAACAAAAAATGGCTGTATTTCTATCTTCAGAACACCTATAGTTTCTCTCCCCCCAGACAGCCCATAAAATGCAAGCAGGGATTATCTTCCAGACAACTTTACACTTTTTTCCTTTATTTTTTGTGCTTGCCTGCTTTCCAATGCTTCCTTAATCAGTTCTCGGCATTACCTGCTGCGCTCCAAATACATTAAGGAACATATTCCAAACTTCCTTAACAGTTAACATACCCAGTGTAGTAATAAGTGTGCTGGTGATTCTCTGTTGCTGCAGCATAAAAAACACCTATTAGGCAGACTTACAAGTTTACACCCATTCTTATAAATTTCCAGTGTCAAACATGCCTCGTGAGTTGTTACCCCCTGAAAGCAACTTGCTCTTGACGGTGCCTTTGATTTTCATATCATACTCCATGGCCCATGTACCACTATTCATCTCTCTTTACAAAGGAGTTTGTAGCATGACTTAATGGAAAAAATACCCTTTTTGTCTGCTCTCCACTACAGAGTCTCCTTTGTCCAACGGTATTCTCAGCCACTCCATGATGTTTTATAGCTGAGCAGCTCCTTCCACTTCTCAGTCAAATACGTTTCTTCTGAATTTCAAATCTCAAGCTGCTCCACACTCTGCTGTCTGCAATAGTCGCATTTGGTTGTAACACCAATGTTAACAGATCAGGGAATTTCATGCACAATGGTTCATCTCCAGTCCAATTGTCTGGCCACATCCTTGTTCTCCTTCCATCGCCCACTGTAATGTAGATCGACTGTTGAAACTCTTTCCAATTCTTTCTGATGCTTCCACAAGGCTATTTCATACTACACGGATACACTGTGTATGAGGTTGAAAATTGAAGATTATGTTTTCCTGTTTGGTTTCGTAACACACGTGTTATCTTTCCTGATTTGAAGTATTATCACTTTGCGGACCTGCAATATTGTGGAGAATAATCAATGGTGACATTGAACTATTGATTTGAGTGATTTCTTATAATAAGCTTATAGTGTCATTCACCCTTGAGTTTTTCAACTGGATGCAGTTAATTTAATGGAGTATATTAGAGTTGTGATAACAAATGGGAAGAACTAGCAAGAGATCTCGTAACACTGAAATGGAATTCGTAGTCTAGTATCAAGATAGGACTGCTAAAAATTGCTGAAATATTGTTATGAAGATCTGTTCGAAAGGCTACAAACCACTTACTGTGTATCTTCTTTTTACTTTTTCCGATAACCAAAAAATCTGGTGTTTTCAGCTTCAAAAGTCTGTTAAAAATGGGTATCCCTGTATCCTTATCTGCTTAAATACCAGATTTGGTTCTCCAGCAGGATTTGAACTCGTGACGTGCTCCTAATTGTATTTATTTATTCTTTGCTAAAGGCTTCTTTATGTGCCATTGACTGTCTGTTGGCGAGCAATGTTCATCTTTTCTGGCAATTCATCCTTATTTTCATGCACCGCAGTTTCCAAGGTACCTAAGCTTTGTCAAAGGATTGGTGGACTCTAATGACCTTCCTCTCAATGTTTCAAGGGAAATCCTTCAGGAAAGCCGAATTGTAAGGGCAAACCTGTTTGTTTTTTCGTGAATTAATGACAGTTGCTATTTTTATAAACTTCATTTTCCTGTTTAATGATCTGCAATGATGCCAGTGATGATGAAAAGTTCAAAGCTTATACATTCTTGAGCTTAATGTGTTTGGCTGATTTCATCCAGGTTAGGATAATGAAAAAGAGACTAGTACGAAAAACATTTGACATGATTCAGGATCTTTCTGAATGTGAGAACAAAGAGGTATGAACTAATCAAAGCATTCTTTCCTTTAGTATTTTTCCTGGAAGCGTTTAAGAGCGGGACTATTTTGATATCCAGGATTACAAAAAATTCTGGGAGAATTTTGGTAAATTTTTGAAGTTGGGATGTATCGAAGACACCGGAAACCACAAGCGCATTACCCCATTGTTGAGATTTTTCTCTTCCAAGAGTGAAGAAGAGTTGATAAGCTTAGACGATTATGTTGAGAACATGGGTGAGAACCAGAAGGCCATTTATTACTTGGCAACAGATAGCTTGCAGAGTGCCAAGACTGCTCCTTTCTTGGAGAAATTGGTTCAGAAAGGGATAGAGGTATGTAGTTCTTGAATGCAGTGCTATCAAAATATACATGTAAATGGATTATGAATGTAGCTCGAGCTAAGTTAGTGCTCGATGATTGTATTTCTTTTAACATTCAGTAGAGTGCATTGACGTTCAACCATTAAAAAAGGGAGCTACGAATATCATGTACTTATCTCATAAAAAGTGTAAGCAATCAGGTCTGTTGGTCGAAAATAATACTGAAGTGTCAACTTTGTGGACGTCTAAGACCATTTGTACGTCTTTCTCCATTCACCTTCTCTCTAAAGTTTGGGTGAAGAATGTCATTCTTCTACCAAGTTTTCTTGCTCCTTCAATCGCAATGAGATTGGAACCTTGCTTTGTTAGTTCCATTAATAAAGTTTACTTCCCATAATACAGCATTATACCTTGTTTGCATCTCAGGAACAGTTGCATAAAGCCTATTTTTAGACTTGGCAACATATATTTTCTTGAAAAAAGAAAATTTTTGGCCCTTTTGTGATCTCATACTTCGTAGCAAATAAAACACAATTTCAACTCTCATCAAAATGAGTTTGCCAAGGCAAGGAGATATCTCATGTTCTAGGGTTTGTCGGGTCTCAGAGAATCAGCTTCTGTGGCTTAAATCTCCACTTAATTACCTTCTGTTTGTCCATTGATCAAAACGTTTTTACATGTTTTGCGGGGATACAGGTGTTGTACCTCGTTGAACCTATTGATGAGGTGGCCATCCAAAATCTACAAACTTACAAGGAAAAGAAGTTTGTTGACATAAGCAAGGAGGATTTGGAGCTTGGTAAGTACTGTTGTTCATTCATTGACTGGGCTCCAGCATATGAGTTGTTATGTTTTTCTTCATGTGTACTTGAAACTCAATCAAAGAGTAGACGGGGAAGAGGAGAAAGAGGGAAGGGGAGGGTCAATGAATTTGACCCTTCTCCAAAGTAATTTTGATATTACAATCTTTGATATTAATTTCAGGTGATGAGGATGAGGTGAAAGAACGAGAAACCAAGCAAGAGTTCAATCTTTTATGTGACTGGATAAAGCAACAGCTGGGAGAAAAGGTGGCAAAAGTACAAGTTTCAAATCGGTTGAGCTCATCACCATGCGTGCTTGTATCTGGAAAGTTTGGTTGGTCTGCCAACATGGAAAGGTCTGTTGGTTATGGTTTTTAATCTTCCTTTTTCGTTTTGTTTGTTAGTTTTGCTAGATCGAGTTGAAGTTCTATCTTTTTCTATTAAATAGGTTGATGAAAGCTCAAACCCTAGGAGACACTTCAGCCATGGAGTTTATGAGAGGGAGAAGAATATTGGAGGTTAATCCTGATCATCCAATCATCAAAGACCTCAATGTGAGTTTTAGCACATGATTTATTCAAGTTCCTCATTTGAACTGTGAAGTGATCTAAATTAGTGTTCTAAATTTTCAAGAATCATATAAAGATATATGAAACATTTATAGCATAGAAAGCAAGACGTGGGTGTTGTTAGAAGAATTATCAGATGTTAAACGAAAAAAATAAGAGACAATTGAGGCTTGTTAGGAAGGCAGTCTAATAATTTGAACTTCAGGAACATAAGCACCATTGTTCTTTTACTTGGATAACAAAACTGGAGGGGTAGTGAAGTTGCATTTTATTGGCTGTTTATCAACTTATGAGATGTTAATAATAATAGAAGTTTACTCTATAAATATGTGCAGCAGATGGATGATATGCTAAATCAGTTAATGTGTATTACTGCTAAGTTTTACAAACGCATAGGGTGTGAGGACTGAGGACCACTTGTCAATATTAAAGTTGATATTAGAACTTGTCTCATTTCTTTATTACACATTGTCACTGAGAGTGCACTTGCAGGCTGCATGCAAGAACGCGCCTGATAGTTCTGATGCCAAGCGGGCTGTGGAACTGTTGTATGATACAGCATTGATCTCTAGTGGATTTACTGTAAGCACTATGAAAACCTTGCAAATATTACATTTCTTTGAATAATAATTATTCATTCCTACATGAATCCTAACATACCATTTCACTCCATTAAAGCTCATCTTAGATCAGTATTATACGTGATTGTTTATTGCTAATGCGCAAATTTAATGTGGCACATTTGTACAGCCTGACAGTCCAGCTGAATTAGGTAACAAGATATATGATATGATGTCAATGGCTCTTGGAGGAAGATGGGGCAGATATGAGGAAGGGGATATAGAGTCATCAGAAGAGTTAAAGGAGTCAGATTCAAGCTCTGCAGAGGCCCAAGTTGTTGAGCCATCAGAAGTAAGAACTGAGAGTAATGATCTATGGGAGTGATTCTCAAGCATCTTTTCTTGTTTTGGCATTCTTTCTGTCCTAATGTCATCAATATAATAATTGTCAGAAGAGAGAATTTTGGTGTGGGAAGGGCATTAAAATGTTCCTTAGAGGGAGGGAGGGAGAAAATTTTGGAGAACAATTAATTAAAAATATTGTCAGTTAGTAATTGTTTTATTGTTTTTCTATGTATGCATGTATTTTTATTTGTTTCCTACCCAGTGTCCGGTATCTGTTTTGGGACGTTGATTTATCCATTAAAGGCGAAAGCGCTCTCTACTAGGATTTTTCTCACTCCCATGGCTCGACCTCTGGTTAAGGATAAAGGAGTACTCACAACCTTGGACGGTTATGTATACATTTGTAGGTTGCTTCTGGAGAGATATTCTCCTACTCTTTTGATCTCTTGTAAGAAATTAATCCAATGTTTATCTACATCCATAATTTTATATATTTTCCCCCTTGACATCTATGAACAATAACGAATCCCACGTTCCTAGTAAAAAGAATTTTAGTAGAATTTGGTACTTGCAGAATTCTTACTATATAATATAATGTCAGTAAAACAAAACCGTGATTAAAGCAGACAAAAATTTGTGCTGCCCAAAATTACTCTTCGCGAACGCAACTATTAGCCTTTGTGTACAAATGGAATTTCATCCTTTATTTCTTTAGTATCCTTTTCCCTCTTTTTTTTTCTCAACATAATAACGAAATCAGCAAGGTGTAACACAAAACTGTAAACAAAATCGGATTAAAATAATTTTATTTCACACCCCCATCTAGCATATGGATAAACACTAAAATAAAGTAGCTAGCTTTTTATCACCTTGGAATCTCATAAATCTGGGTACATAGCTTTCTAATTTCTTTTGCATCTCTTTGCTGATCCTCTTATCTCTATGACTGTCTAATGTATATCCCTTTGGATCCCTTCACAAAGTGTGACTATTAAAATAACATATTTTTAGTACAATTCTTGCTGAAAACAATAAAAAGAATGTCAATTTTTAATTCCTCAAATTTATAAACGAATACCCATTTCAGACAGAATATTGGAAGATTTTCATGCCTTTTCCTTTTCCCCTTGTCCCATCAACTACCAAGAAGTTTTATTTTTTTCCCTGGAAACTTGTAAGATTATCAGACATCTGGTACAGAGAATCTTATCAACTCAGTTATTTATAATTACCATGACCCCATTTACTCACTGATATGATAATGTAGGTAAGATGTACAGATATTATTATTATGGCATCTTTCTGGCATTTAAATTGCTGTACAATGACAGAAAATAAAACAATAAAGGGACTCTGTGAAAAAGCATTTAGTCAACAAAACCAGAACCAAGGTTAATCCCTTTTTTTTTTTTTGGTTTAACTGTGATGACCCGATAGGTCATCTTATGATTTAAATCTAATTCTGTGATCCGAAACCTTTAAAAGTTATGTTTTATCCTTTCTCGATTTGCGTGCGCAGTCCGGACGTCTTTCCGGAATGCTTTTATGTTAAAAACTGATAAAAAAATAAGAAATTTTGCCTAAAAACTTCATTTGAGTTGACTTCGGTTAACATTTTTGGTAAACGGACCCAGATTCATATTTTGACGGCCCCGGTGGGTCCGTATTGTGATGTGGGACTTGGGCGTATGCCCGGAATCGAAATCGGAAGTCCCTAACCCGAGATATCGGACTATGTCGGAATTTGAAAGTTGAAAGCTTAATAAAATTGAAGTATTTGACCAAAGTTTGAATTTTTGGATAACGGGTTCGTATTTTGGTTCCGGAACCCGGTATAGATCCAATACCATAATTATGACTTGTATGTGAGATTTGGTGAAAAACGGAGTTGATTTGACATGATTCGTACGTCCGATTGTGAAAATAGGAATTTCAAAGTTTTCTTGAAAGTTTCATGTGATTTGGGGTTAAATCCATAGTTCTAGGTGTTATTTTGGCGATTTGATCGCGCAAGCAAGTTTGTATGATGTTTTTAGACTTGTGTGCATATTTGGTTTGGAGCCCCGAGGGCTCGGGTGAGTTTCGGGCTACAAAGTAAAATTTGGACTTAGAACATAGCTGATGTTGCAATATCTGGTGCAGGCCTCAGGCATCGCAATTGCGACCCCTGCAGGTTCCGCATTTGCGAGCTATTTCTCGCATTTGCGAAGAATGGCTGGCCTCATAGTTTTCGCATTTGAGAACAAGCTCTTCGCATTTGCGAATTGGGAAGGAGGAGGCAGTGATCGCATTTGCGATCAAATGGTCGCATTTGCGAAATGACCAGGCTCGCATTTGCGAGATATTCTTCGCAGTTGCGAAGGTAGCAGGAATGGGAGACCTTCGCATTTGCGATAGGTTCTTCGTATTTGCGGGGCTTCAGGTCGCAAATGCGACACCTGCAACTGATCAAAATAATTTTTGGACGGGATTTTGGTTAATTTCTCAACTTTTCAAATCCTAGAACCCTAGAGGCAATTTTTCCAAGATCAATTCTTCCCCAAAACTTTGGTAAGTGATCCTAACCCATTTTTTTTAATTTCCCATCACATTTCATGAATTTCCAACCCAAAATCTAGGATTTCCATGGTAGAAATTGGGGGTTTGGATAGAATTAGGGATTTTTGGAAAATTGGGATTTAAACCTCAAATTGAGGTCGGATTTCAAAATTAATTGCATAATCGGGCTTGGGGGTGAATGGGTGAATGAGTTTTGGTTCGAACCTCGAGTTTTGACCAAGCGGGTCCGGGGTCGATTTTTGACTTTTGGGGAAAAATTTGGAAAATTAAAATTTATGCATTGTAATTGATTCCTTTATTAATAATTGATGTTATTGAGTTAATTGTGGCTAGATACGAGTGGTTTGGAGGTGGATACTAGAGGAAAAATGATAATTGAGCATTGAGTGGCTTGTGGAGCGAGGTAAGTGTTGTGTCTAACTTTGACTTGAGGGATTAGGAACTCTCGACCTATTTGCTATATGAAATTCATGTGAGCGGCGTATATGTGAGGTGACGAGTACTTATGCGCCGCCAAGTTATCTGTTTTGCCTGTTTCTTTCCCGTTCTTCTTATATTGTTTCTTTCCCTGCCTTAACTGTTACATGCTTTACTTGTATTTCCATGCCTAATTGCTACTTGTTAGACATTGTTTCTCCTTGTTGAAGGTATTAGTTATCCCGTAGCTTCGTTGTCTCCTATTATTTGCTTAAGCTGTTTCATTGGTGCTTTTATGATATATTTTGGATTGATCTCGCTGAGTAGTATTACTTGTGTGGAGTTCATAGTGTACAAGCTTTCCATTTGCTTTGGTTTGAAGTTCAGTATCGTGAAGGGTTTTTGTGTTGAATTGTGAAATTTCTATACTTATTGAGTAATTGACACTGATATGGTGGGATTGGGTTGCGCGCCGCAACATGTGAAATAAGGGTGATATATTGAGGAGGAATAAGAGTGAATTGATATTGTACGGTGGGATCGGGTTACACGCCGCAACAGGTGTAATAAGGGTGGATTGTGGTAAAATAAGGGTGAACTGTGATTGTGATTATTGTGATATGGTGGGATCGGGTTACACGTCGCAATACTTTTATTTATATTCTGATGTTTATGTTAATAAGAGGAAATAAGGGAGGAATATGATATGTACGGTGGGATCGGGTTGCGCGCCGCAACAATCTATATGNTCGCCTTACCTGCAACCGGAACCACCTCACTTATCTTCAAGAACAAGTATATATCCCAAGAATTAAAGCTTCTACTATGAAGTCTTACTCTTTCTGCAAGACTATGGCTATTCGTTGCCTGGCCTCGTCGAGCTCGAATGTGTATGTATTCTTCTTTAGGTGGATCTGAAGCTTGAGACCTCTGTTTACTGTTTTTTTCACCGGGTTTGCTGGCAGTTGAATTCAAGTTTTGTTCTCCCTGAGTTTCAGTTTGAGCTTGTGCACGTTCAGCTGGCGGTTGTTGCGTTCCCTTCATTTGATCAGGCTGAGCATCCTGCCAAAAATGACAATAACACTCAGCAAAGAACTACTTTGCACAATTGTACAGACCGAGTATTCGAGAGAAAATGTGGACTATATGGAGCTACAAGTGAACAAGAGAGAACATATTAACAATGTCCTACCTGACCATATCTTTTCCTTTTCTTTGAGCCAAGGCTCTTTGAGGAAGACTCCTCCCTAAAGCCTCCCATTTCCTCTTGACGGCCACTACAGTCAGCTTCATCAGACTCATTTCCGGACAATCCAACTGCTTCTTTTCCTTCACCCTGAGACCTAGCAGTGTTTTCATTCTTTTTCGCATTCTTGAGAGGGCTTTCTTTATTGGTCTCATGCTCGCTATGTAAAGGAACATCCTTGGAACTTTCAACTGCATTTCTCATATGCTGCTTCTGAGGGTCTATAGCAGAGGGTGAGTTTAATCCGTTGCTTGCAAAAACCTCTTCTGATCTGCACATTGGCGCTAGTCCCCTATAACAAGGCTTCACAGACTCAGGGATGCTAAAAGGGTTCATCATATCACTGAGGTTTCCTCCACTAAAGCACGAAAACCTTGCAGCTCTCTCAATGAAACCTGAATCAACTGGAAGCTGAGCTAAGCTTTGAGGAAGCATTCCAATATTAGGCGGTACAAACACGCCCCCTTTCATCATTGCGTTAGGTGGATTCCAACTCATACAAACTGTTCTATCAACACCACCTCTTGCAGGGCCTGGGCCAATTTCTGCAATTCCGGGTGGATTTGTAGTACTAGAATTAATTTGAACATTATTACCATAGAAACTTAAGTTTGGCGAATTAGTAGGCCGATCCCAAATAGTGGGATAATATGAATCTACCATAGGATCACTTTTAGGGATCATTCCTATGGATGCATTTGTCAAGTTGCTGCCACTTAATTGCCACTCTAAGGACATATTTGGCGAGTGATAATTCGCAGCATCCTCTTTCCTCTTTAGTTGCTCAGTATCATTCTTGCTATCCATATCCATTATTTGGAATTGAATTAAATTTACACAAGCTAAAAAAGAAAGTCCAGGAAACAATCTATAAGATAGAAATCAAACAATTGGCCACTTCCAAAGATACTCGCGGTGACGAGAGAGTTAAGCTCAGCTAGTGATATGCCTCCATTTCCAATTGATATGTCAGGAGTTTGAGTCACATAAGTGTTAATGAAGAACTACTGCTTACCCCTGGGGTAGGATGGGTAAAGAAAGAGAAAAATCAATACACATCCATACAAGCAGAGAAATTGAAGGAACAAGATTCTGCATTTGTGCATAAAGACTGAACAATAATTCCCAAAATTTCTAATTCAACAAATGCAAATAAAACAAAGAAAGTAATTATACCAAAAAATTAGGAGAAGAAGCTTAGCTAAAAGCAGGACAGAGAAAATCAAGCCAAAACAATAGGAAAAGAGGTTGCTAACAACATCCCAATTCAATACACACAAGGGAGAAAACAAAGTTCCAAGCTTTAATTTGCTTCAAAATTACAAAGAGAAGTGCCAACCAATGTCCAAGAAAACACAATTCTAGTTCAATAAAGAGTTCAGAAGCAAAGTTAACTGAAGAGAAGTGACATTAATTTCAGTATCATAAATACCCATTTATTAAAAACAGTACTAGTCAGAGTGAAACAGATTCAACTTCCTAAGCTCAGCTCTGAAACTGAGAAAGACAAGACCAAAAGTGGGAAGAAAGGAAGAAAGATACCTTATTTAAGATTGGGTGCTACTTCTGCTACTCAGTACACTCTTTTTTGAATGTTACTGAATGAACTGTACAATGCTCTTTTTTTCTTGAATTTTGAGTAATGTTACAAACTGCAATGTACAGTCACTGTAGGAAGATTATACTAAGAGAAACAAACAACCAGAAAGCAATAAAGATAGAGAGAGAAGTATCACTATATTAGAAAGGTAGCACAGTCAAAGTTAAAGAAGAAAAAGGTATTTGACGGAACTGAAAAAGAAAGCTTACATACAAAGGTTCTCTGCATTTATACCCACGCCTGCATAAAAAAGAGAGCTATTGATGATTAACCACCGTTACCTGCTTGCGTTTCAATTTAAATTTAAATGATATAGTTTGACTCGACACAAAAAAAAAAAAAAAAAAAAAGAAGAATGACTTTTGAAACTTGTGATATTACAAGTTTAAGAGGTAAAAGTTTTGTGTAATAATGATATTTGTGTGGAATTAAGAGTAAAATGAGTAAAACGAAAAGTTTAAAGTTGAATTATTTTTAAATTTAGAAATGTGTCATGCATTTTGGAATAGACTAAAAAAGAAAGTAACTCATCTAATTTGAAACGGAGGGAATATAAAATAATTGAACAAACACAAAATCTATTTTAATAAAATGAAATACTACTGTAGAATTATCTAAATATTTTTTTCATGCTTGTGGAGTATTAAATTTCAAGGATTTGTTTGTAGGATATTCTTGGAATTAGCTTTAATTCATTCACCTCCATCTGAGAAAAAAATATAAAAAAGGTATACTTGTCCTTCTATATATTTGAAAGTTATTACCATCCACGGTTGTGATACAACAGTAAGTATTTTTGCATCCTCAATCAGAGATTTTCAACTCAAATCATGAGTATGAAATTGGCTTTGAGGTTACTTTATCCATTATTGTGGAACTTTTAGACGAAAATTAAAATTAGTCGATTCCAAAGTTAATACCGATGTACATCGGGTGTAAAACAAAAAAGTAGTTGTTGTATCTCTGGGCCAGATTTATTAATTGAGAAGTTGTTCTTTATCACAATTAAGTGTGAATGTGTGATAAGTTGAAAAGATGGGAGAAAATTTGTACTTTGTTATGTAACACTTTAGTTTTCAGAAACAGTGTGTGGTAATAGGTGGAAATTCAAAATAATGGTCCAAAACTTTCGTTACATAAACGTACTTCTATCAAATATTCAAATTACATCATTTATCATAAAAATCTATTCTGACCCTCCTATAATATATATATATATATATATATATATATATATATATATTTATATATATAAAAGGAGTCTTTAAGTCAAAGTAATGCAAATCGAATCAAAAGTTTGATAATGTCAATAACTTTTAAAAAGCTTAATATCGTACGGACTAAATTATTGTAGTTCCACTAGTAATATCATTCTTGAAAATCTTGCAACAGCAACTTTCTTTTGCTCCTTATTGAGATTTTACGACCCGGCTCTCTAGATATTTTATTTTCAAAGACTATTTTTCAGATTATTTTCTGCTATCTAATTAGGGAAGGTAACTATTTTACATTAATAGGAGTATAATATAGATGATTGATATTGGGCTATTGTGTAGTGAAGGTTCAGCAAAAGGTCGTAAATTCACTGTCATGGCTTTCAAGCTTTTTGCTAGGTTAGCTAACATCTTCAAGAAAAAATAACAATCGTAGGGCTAGGATCTTCTCTATTTTATTCTCCAAACTTGACTCATGCTACTACTGTAGTCCATTATTAAACTCAAAAAAAAACTAGTCACAATTAAATAATACTTTACCTATTGAGTTTCTTTTATTGAGATATTTTCATATGCCGTTTAAATATTTTGAATTGTTAATTATTATATAATTTTTAACTATATAAATTTTATTTTATTTTTTTTAAAAAAATTATATCTGAATTTTCGATCAAAACTAATTAAAAAGTTACTATTCGATTCTCAAAATTTAAATTGCATCACATCAATTGGGTAATTGATTAAGTTTTCTTCCGAAAGCTTTTTACAATATGCTACACCGTTGAAGGACTGTCCCTCTTGCTTTCTCTTGTATGTAAAATTATTAGCTGGCATCGGGACTTGAAATCACAGACCTAACCCTCAGAATAATGGAGATCTCTTTTCACACTTCTGCTTACAAATTCTTACTAATAAATACTCTATATTTAAGCTTCAAGATTATAATAATAATAAAACTAATAAAAAAGGTAGCGTCAGAGGAGAAAATGATTTGCATTGATTGGGTTGATTTTACTAGGTGTTAGGATCGAGTATTAAAATGGAGAGTTGGGGATTATACAAAAATATAAACAAATCATTTTTCGTATGTACTGAACTGTTAGATAAATGTAAATAGCATGGAGTAACATTATATACTCATATACAAGTACATATACAACAAACCACGAGCAAAACCCCGTGAGAGAATAGTCCAAGGAAGAAGACAGCGAAGAAATAATTATTGCAACTAATATGATATATAATAGTAAATAAAGAGTGATTAGATTCCTTAATGATCTTTTCTCCAATAAGAAAACCTCGGAACAAAAAACGCTGCAAATGGAGTATCGACACATAATTGTACGAATTTTCTTTAACTTAAGTATAAATGTATGACGACGAAAATGATTGCTACATTAAATATTGCTATATTTTAATCGATATTATTTACTTTATTTTTTATGTTATCAAATTATGATTACTATATGCAGTTACCTGCAGAGGCGGATCCAAGATTTAAATTTTATGGGTTCAATTTTAAGATTTTTAACATTGAACCCATTATATTTTTAAAATTATGGGTTCATATCTACTATTTTTGCAATTTTAATGCATTTTTACATATAAATTTTTACTCCGCATCGAAAGTTATGGGTTCAGTTGAACCCGTAGCTAGCACGCTACATCCGCCTCCGGTTACCTGTCATTATATGTTATCTTAATTAATTTGATAGGTAAAAAGATCTCAAAAGCAAGATGATGGATCCAGATATATGAAGGTGAAATAAATAAAGAAGAATTAACCCAAATAGCCGTCCACCTGATCTCTTCAACTAAAAATAGTCGATGGATGTATAATATACGTATAATTAGTGTGTAACTGTGTATAAATAATATATAATTTATGTATAACGGCTAGAAAAAGTAAACATTGAATCTGACCGGTTATTTGTGTAACAATCCCAGTTTTAAAGGAGTATCTTTAACATGAATGAAAGAGTAATGAACTCTTTGACATATGATCACACTCTTCCTAACAACCACCCTTAACCCATTCTTGAAACTGTGGAATTTGAAACTTTACAAGAATGACCATTTTTTAATTACAGAACTAAAAAGTAACTAACCCATGCTATTATTAAACCCAACCTACTCAAGTTTTGTATATTCCTTAGCAGTGATAGTGAAGTGGACTTGGTCTTGACTCTTGAGATGTAAATCTATTAGAAGCTGCACTCTCTATGGTTTGATTTTTGTGTTTAAATTAATCTGCACACACTTTGACTATATGAATTTTGAATTATTAAATTATGTCAATCTTGCTATTAGGGAACTTAGAAAAAGGTTCATAAGAAATTTGAGCTTGTTGTGCAAAATGAATCTTTCATACTAATATTTTAGTTATGGCTCAAGATTATACAATGTTTACTTTTTATTTGGATCAAATATTGAAGACTCAGATCCTAAATAACTACTGGTTAAACTCTTCTATAAAATGAGTTTCGTATTCTCCTATTTAATTGATCGAATTATGTAATGAACTAAATTTTGTCTTGACAATAACATCTCGAATCTAGTTGGCTTTTGCGATACTATGGCAAAGTCGTGGCGCTTTGATTACAAAAAATAATTTATTGACTTCAGTCTTATTTAGGTTAAGTTAAGCAAACTTTTTCATCATCAAAAGTTGTTTAATGGCTTTTGCGGTAATAAAGTAAAAATTGAGGTGACCATTTATGAAATTAAACCCTAATAAAACATAGTAACTGGCATTTGATCATTTATCATTTTTTTTTCATTTTTCCTTTTTCTTGTGGAATAAAGAGAGTATAATTATCATAATTGAAATCGTCACACATAAGAGATGTCAATATAAACTAAAGCATTTCAAATTTTCAAAAGAAAAGAAGAACAAGGAAAAAGAAGTTAAGCTGATACGAGGAAATAAATAACACGATCCATTTACTTGAAATACATCCAAAATAATTGGTGGTGTGTACATTGAAATATATAAAGGGGACCAAAATAATCTGTCGTCGATGTCGATGGAGTTGATAGCGCCAGCAATTCCAACTTCGGCTCCACACTTGAATATTTGAATATTACTTGTAGTGACGAAACCAGTAAATTCAATAAGGGTGTTCAAACCTTTACCAGTGGGCTATGTAAGGATGTTCAAAGTCTATTTTTAATCAATAACAAATAATATTTTACCTTATACGGAGTATAATTTTCCGGCGAAGGGTGGTCAGTTGACCGCCCTCGATTGAACGTAGCTTCGCACCTGATTACTTGGAGCAAAATATCAATAACAAACATAAGGTTACACTTACAACTAAGATAAGACCAAAATATACTTTCAAAACAAAAATTATGCATGATGTTGAACATTCTAAATATGTTTTTTTTTTTTTTTTTTTTTT